AGTAATTCTTGTACAAATTTTTACAGTACTTCAGAAATGGAATGATAGGAAAACGATTCCTTACAAGGAATAAGAGTTTCCAATATTTATCACGTGAAAGAGGCATTACCATTAGGATATCCCTTCACTAACATTGATGAATAGGAAGGTGTTGTGAGATTTATATGTACCACTCGCAAGTGCACGAATCCTTGCAGATAGAGCTTACTTGTAAGGGTGTCGTACTTAAGGGACTTGTGTAAATTAAATTTGTTAACAAATTTTATAAATTCAAATTAACTTGAAATTAGTATAATAAAATTGTGATAATTTATTCTAAATTAACTAAGTAGAAAAATAAAATAAAAAATAATGATCAAATAAGATGTAGAAAATAGAGAGAGAATTAGGAGCATGCACTTCACCACTAACGTCGCACCACTAGTTAATTGCATTAATTTATTGGAGATATAACATATAACATGCATAGGGAATTAATCATAACTACAAACACATATTAATTCAGTTAGAAAATAATATAATTTAAAGCTCAGTATAGACTATTTTCGATTGACATAAACCATCTACTTAACTACTTTACTCTAGGGTGTAGTATGGTCTATCTTTTCAAGGCATAATCCATCAAATCTCTAACATTATATTGAGAGAAAAATCATTGTGTAATCATCTCATTCACAACTATAAGAAGTGAATGAGTTGTGTTCAATCACAAGATTCAAATATCTAAGACAAGATAGAAAAATATTTGTAATTGAATTAAGACTTTAAAACTGATTCTTATTGAAAATTCAATGAAAAATCCCGTAGATTATACAATCATGCATGATAATAATTGTTCTTCAATAAATAAATATAATCAAACCAGTGGTGCAAAGTTAGAGCCACATCACAACCCTAGCAAAGCGTTTAGCCAAACATGACTGAAGTGGAATTCTTCATGGTTGAGGAAGACATCTTCACCGCCATGGGTTGATCTTTCTTTCTTCTGAATGCTTCTCCTCTGATCTCAGCCTCAAACTCCTTTGTATAATGCTCTAATGATGTAGAGAACTCCCTTTAAATAAGATAAGATTAGCCTCAAAGTTCCCTTTTTCACATAGAAGACATATATGGAAATTCTGCCAAACATGGACTTCAAAATTCGTACAGACTTCCAGCCTAGTTTGACAAGATAAATAGTTGTTTTATGAAATTCTCGTGAAATACAAAATTGTAGCTCTTTGAATTTCTTTTCAATCAAAGTAAAAATTTAGCTGTTTTGACACTGGAGGAGAGAGATATAGATAGATTACCAAAACGGGTTCAAGTTACCAACTTTGGAGAAAGTTTCCTTGTTGGAGAAGGATTTTTCTTTTTCTTTTTCTTTCCATTCTTATTAACTTATGGTTTCTCTTGGACTCTTTTCTAAGTCTAATTAGTCTTAGACCATTAACATTACTCGATCCCACGGAATGTCATCTTTTAAAGCTTGGAATCATTGGTCTTTATTGATTTTACAATTAAAGCCTTGAAATAAATAAAAATAATGTAAAATCACAAATAAATTATTACTAAGTGAATAAAACATGCAAGTTAAGGGGCTAAAATGTATAACATTCAGCGCCTAACAGAAGGAAATAAATATTACACCAATTTTGGTAGGAGGAAGAAAGAGGGGTGGAGGGAAGAAAAAGAAGGAAACAGCAAACTTTTTTTTTTTTTTTTCATTCGGTAAAGAGGAGATAATGAGAGAAATGATACTAAGATGGATGAGTCATCTTTCATTTTTCACAAATTTTCACCACTCCAAATATGCGTGGAAGAGAAGATGGAAGATAAAGTAGACTATTATAAAAGTTTTAAATTACAATACTATTTTTCATAAATTACAATAATATAATTATAGAAAAATATAATAAAATTACAATAATATAAATATTGATGGATATAATGATAAAAATAATTTAACTCTTCCATTTTCTCCAAATGAATACAATAAGTTGTCAGTTTTCTTTTTCTCTTCCATCCAGCCAACTCTCTTCCATTTTCTTCAAATGAATATAATAAGATAAGTTGTCAGGCCCTTCTTTTTTTTTTTTTTTTTTCATCTGACTGAACAAAAAGAGGAAAATACACAATATCTTCTCTAAGGTTGTCCTATCCATCAATGTTCTCTCTCTCTCTCTCTCTCTATATATATATATATATTTATATTTATATTTAGGACAAGAATGCTAGGGATTAGTGCTTAGTTGTTAGAGGGGAGGGGGAGGTACACGGGCTCCCAGACACAAAGAGCAATTCAACCACTCGAGTAATACGACACTTGCTAATAATTTGAAGTCCTTTAAATAAGTTACCTTGATAATAATTGAAGTGAAGTATTTATTGAAAAAAAAAAATCTAAATGGAAGTATGAACAATTTTCGTTGAAAATATCATATCAATTAATATTAATTCTTATTTTTGTTATGATAATTTCATTCTTATATATATAATCTCATTATTGTTCAAAGCTGTGTCTTGATCTTCTCAAAACATTTTTATGTTGGTTACCATCTTGAACTCTAGTTGAGTCAGTCCATCCTAATGGTGCGTAAGAGATATTAATTTCGTCTAACTTACTTCATAGTCGGCTTTTGTTAAGATTTAAATCTTTTTATCCATCACACAGAGTGAGAGCATTATCATTACACCATCACACAAATATATATAGAGAAAATAATTATACGCATCCAAGTATAACACAATATTTTACATCGTTCACCCAACTTTAGGTTACGCCCATGGCCAAAAAGAAATTTTACTATTATATATCAAATAAGAGAATATACAACCACGAATGTCAAAATCCCTTACTCTCCTATTCTTTCATTCTTGTTTTATTTTCGGAGTTAAGAACACTAGAATCCCCTTCCTTCTCAAGACTATATTTAGAAGAAATACATATATTCTCCTATATTTTCGCAAAGGAATTATCATATCAGTAATAATATTAAAATAAAGGCATTATTCCATTGAAAAATAATTTCCATCGCAAGTCCATCAATACTTCCAAACAAAAATGGAAACCAATTCTCGAATTTCAGGCCACAAAACCCAACATGGTGTTGGTGCTCTCTGGTTTTTGATAGATGCCGTGTTCTCCCGGCAATTGCTTGGTGATCTTGTGGGTGTCCTCCGACCTTTGACGGAATGGATGTATTGTCTGTTAGTGGGGCTGCTAAGCTTTTTCTTCCTGGGCCTCCATTTGCGTGTATATCGATCTTTTCCATTTTTTTGTTTGTTTGTTTGTTTGTTCTTGCCTATTTCTGGGCCCATATTTTTGTTGTGTAGCTCTTTTATTTTTATTTTTATTTATCATTAATTCATATCTACACTCATTTTCAAAAAAAGTAAAAAGAAGAAGAAAGAAAGAAGCTAAAAAGAAGCAAAGACAACCATGCAACCAGCCAAACTTTTTATAGTTGATAAGAATAGATTATATATCTAAAGCATCACATCGGCAGCCATGAAATAGGCCAAAACACATTTACTAGGTGGTGGGTGAGGAAGTTATATGTGTGTGTGTGTGTGAGAGAGAGAGAGAGAAAGTAGTGATATCAAAATTTTGAAAAAATAATAACAAACTCATGTTGCACATCTACGATAGTGAATCAGCTTATTCCTTTGTTTATTTAAAGTGAAGTAGGAGTTCAAAATGTAGTCCAAACAAAAGAGTTCCTTCTTGCAACATCTTTTGTCACACCACTCCACCCATTGAAATCCCATTGTGTCGGTAAAATGTAACATCACGTAACATCATGGTCCCCCAAATATAATAATAATACTTATATATATTATAATTAGAATTGGAGTTATCGACCCCTGATTTGAAATGCTTTTTCTTTTACATGTTGATTTGAAATTAAAAAAGCTAAGGCATTTGGAATTGAATTTGATTGTTATGTCAATTAATCTATAATCCTGATTCCCCAAGGAACATGTTTATTTATTTATTTATTTCGCTTTTATCAGTTACATAACTTGAATATGGCCGTGTGTTAAAAAATTAAATTCACTTTTTGACTTTTCAAATTAAAGTACATGCCGAAAAAAGAAAAAGAAAAAAAGTGACATGGGTATCCATATCTTCACCACTCTGTCTCTCCCAATAAATGCTACTCCGTGTGCAATTTGAAAGTTTAGATGGGATGTAGCGCAACAGATGCATAAAATAAATTTGTTTTGTTAATATATATATATATATATATATATATATATTTTAGAGTACTGATATTGACTTCACAACATTTTTATTATTCAAATCAAAAATGAGATTCAAAAAAAAAATTTCAATAATTTATTTTTTGAATTCTTGCCAACGCGTTATAGTAAATAAGATAATATTATATAAATAATATAAAATTATTATATAAATGTAAATAATGTGAATTGTCGTTGCATAAGCGATACAGTTATATATAACATGGACCGAATGTAGTACCATCTCTAAAACAGTGGACAACCATGTGAGTAACAGTAACTATCCAATGCTGTTACGTACGAATGTGGTGCTAATCCTGAGTCGAAATAGCAAAGGAATCGGGTTGTAGCAGGACCCTCTAATTATTTCGTCCGAACGGTTCGTACACGTATGGCACTATTGGAATCCGTGTTGGTGTCGGGTTCTAGCAGGACCCTCTAATTAATGTGTGGACACACCCACACCAATACAATTGCTGATGATCAACAATCTTGGTGATTCAAATTTAGTAGTTCCATAAGAAATCTCTAGTAGGATCCACATAAGATTAAATGGGCCACAGTTACAAAAGGTGTCACCCAACACTGATCCAGTGAAAGAAATGGATCTTTTAGCCGGATCAACAAAGAGGTAAGGGTCCAAAACTCTTCCATGGACCACACCACAGGTCCAAAACAAGGCAATACACACACATATATCATGTATGTATATATAAAGAGAAACTTAATTGTCTGCACTCTCTTGTCCTAGTCTCAATCTATTCTTCTGATCTCTATCGGTTATGTATTCTTATTCTTATTACATGTGTATGCTCTCTGTTGCTTCATACATACTCTTGTCTCTGTATTCCACTAGAGAACCACAAAGTTTCTGCATCAATTGACTAACCATTTTGCACAACCAAAACTCACCTATCTGGTGTTTGTCTTCTTGCCCAGCTCAGAATATGTCTTGCTAGTTGCTTCCCATTTGGTCTCTTCACATTTTTGTCCTTGTTGGGTTGGTAATCTTCTTATTTCTTATATATTTCACAGAGAGGACTCGAGATTTGAGGTGGGTTTTTTTGGGTTTTCTTTAATTGGGTCATGGATGTCTCTTGTGATCTTGAAGTGGATGTTAATGGGGAAGAGATTTTCTTCGTGGACAAGGTGAATTCTCTGTTCTTAGCTTACATTTTCCTCCGTTTTCTCCTCCAAAAATGTAGTCTTTACATTAATTTTGTTTGTCAGCTTTTAATTGGTTCTTCTGTTATGTGATTAATTATGTCGGTTTGGTTGCTGAGAAAATGTGTGAAGAAAATACGTACCACTCTTCAGTCTTTACAGAAAACAAAAACCTTTTAAACCAAACTATATGAAGATGAGAATCAAGACTTAATTTTTGTTTCTTTTACCACATTTTCTCAGCAACCAAATGTACTATATGCAATTTTCAACACTTCTGGTAGGTTCTGATCTGTATTATCTTACAAGTTATCTTCATTAACTTTATTTTTATTTTTATTATTATTATTTTTTATTCTTAATGTACTTGCCATTTAATTTGAGTCTATTTTGCAGCAATGTGAGGCTTAGTTTTGATCAGGTCCATTCTTGAATACTCCATCTCAGCCATTTAACCATTGTAACATAGTGAATGAACACCAATGAGTCAATGAGTTGGATATTGTTTTTCTTGCTTCTTCAGTCATTTATTGGTCTTGTGGGCTTAAATGTCAGTACACATTTTAAAAGTGTGAGTGGTATTAATTACATTACCCTTTTACCGTTGGGATGATCATCAGACATCTTTTCATGATTCCCCTTCAACAAATTTATTGTCTATAATGACCTCACATCATTCTTTTGCAGAATTTGGTGCAGATGTCCCTTTTAATCTCTCAATTTTTTCAGTCTACTAGAAACAATGCCTTTGGTAATTTTTCATAAAGGGTACACTATGAAATAGTTTTTATTGATTTATTTTTATTCATTATTATTTTTTGGTGTGGGGAGTTATATTATGTCTTTAAATTATTATTTTGTTAGCTTCAACGTGTATTACTTGGTTTTTCATACTAGTTCTTGAGATCATTTTCGTTTTCGGATTTTTTTTTTTAATATACATTTGTTTATCATCTCATTTGTTGTCTAATGAATATTTGCAGAAAATTATTTCTTTATATTCAAGCAGAATAAGCAAATTATTTGGGAAATCGACGCATGGGAGGAAAAAACTGAAGTTGATATTCCATGATTTTCCTGGAGGGGCAGAGAGTTTCGAGCTCATGACAAGGTTCTGCTACAACAATGGCAAAATCGAGATAAATCCCTTTAACCTTGTTCGTTTGCACTGCATTGCACATTTCATGGAAATGAACAAACCCGTCCCTGGAACGCTTAATTTACTTGAGCAAACTGAGAAATCAATTGAAGAAATCAAGTACTGGACATGGTCTGAGCTATTGGTAGCTTTGAAGCAGTGTCAAAATCTTCTTCCTGGTGTGAATTTTTCTGGCATGCTTCAGAAGTGCCTGGATTCTCTTGTTGGAAGGCTTGAATTGGCCAGTGAAACTAGTCCATGTCCATCTACTTCTTCATCAGATAGCTCCGAGTTTCAGTTTTCATGCGACGCTAGAAGCACCAAGAGCTTGCAAAATAGCTGCTTCCGAACAACATGGTGGTTCGAAGATCTTGTGGCACTGTGGCCTGATCTGGTTGAAATGGTGGTAAAATCATTGGTATCCCGAAAATTCAACCATGTTATTATTAGTAGATTCCTGTTTTATTATCTAAAGTCGAGACTAATTACTGCCACATCAGATGAGAAGTGCAAAATCACAGAGGCAGTAATTGTTATGCTCTATTCTCTAGATTGGACTGCTATTTCTTGCAAGAGTTTATTTGGGATTCTTCGAGCTGCTCTGAGTTTAAACATAAGCAAATGCAGCAGGAAAAAATTAGAGAGTATGATTGGTTCAATGATGGATCAAGCAACACTTGACGATCTGCTTCTTCCATCTCCCGTAGGGATGAATCATTTATATGATGTAAATCTAGTTCTTAGGTTTTTAAAATCATTTCTTTCCGGAGGGATATGTCGTGTGATGTTGATTCAATTGAAGAAAGTTGCTAGCTTGATGGACTTGTATTTAGCTGAAGTAGCTCCAGATCCTTGTCTTAAATCATCAACGTTCTTGGCTCTACTCAGGGCTCTGCCAGATTCTGCCAGAGACTCTTATGATGGATTCTATCGTGCCATGGACATGTACCTAGAGGTATTATGTCGAATTCACAAAATTTATATGTAGTTCTATAGCTTTTTAATTTATAACAAATGGTCTTAAACTGTTACTAGAAGTCTTGCAACCTGTTGTTATAACGAATTTCGTGTGACATTTTGGATTATTTGTTTATTTAATACAGGTCCATGCTGGATTATCTGATGATGAAAAGATAAATATCTGTTGTGGATTGAAGTACGAAAAACTCTCATCAGAAGCTGGCAACCATCTTGCTCAGAACACAAAATTCCCATCACAATGTGCTATCCGAGCTCTCACCTCTCAGCAATGCAAGCTCAAAAGCTTGTTCCGTGACACCAACCAACCAAAACCCTTAATTGATTCACCATGTAGCTTTGTGGAACCGGATCAAAAGGGGAAGAAAGGCGAAGCCTCTAAACAAATTGTTCTTTATGCCGGCAAGCTTAATCCTTCGGCTGAGAATGAGAAGCTCAGAGCACGTCTACAAGGTATGCAATCGAGGGTGTTGGAATTGGAGAAAGCTTGTAAAAAGATGGAATCCCAAATGACAAAGATCATGAAATCGAGATTATCAAGTCACAGATATTCGAGATCCTTACCTAGGCTTTGTTCATGATGTATAATTTTCATAAATTTATTTTGTCTTAAATCTTTTTCCTACAAAGGTAATGTATATAGCATGAGAAATGATCTTTTTGTGGTAGTAACAGTTTTTTTTTTTTTTTCCCTTTATTTTCTGCATCATTAAAAGGTGATTGTGATCAGCTCCTTTTACAGAAGAAATCTTGGCTCTAGAAAAACAAGAAAAATGAGAAAATTGTGTTATTTTCTTTCATGAACTGTCTATTCCCTGTGATGTGTGTGACATGGGAATCCAAGGTTAAGTCCATTTCATGTCTCTCAGGATATAGTAGTAGTCTATGATGCAAGTTGCCAAATAATAATAATAATAATAATAATGCAAGTTGGGAAATGGAAAAGGGAATCACAAAAAGCATGTATGATTTAGATCTGAATTGTATTAGAATTAACAACATATATGATATTTACATGCACTTTCTTGTGGTTTGGAGTCTTTGGACTACTAGAGACATGATTGAGTAAAGCATAGATTCTGTGTTAAACAGTAAAGTCAGCTTAGTAGTTGACTCCCCCCCCCAACACACACACACACACACACACTATGGAAGGATGAGGGTCCATAATGAAAAGGGACCACATGCAAACTGCAACACTACTAATTTTTTTTTTTCTTTTCCAACACTATTAATTCAAGTTTGGTAATTATAGGTTATGAAATGTTCATCATCTCTTTGGTTGCAAAGAGATCATGAGAAGGTCGAAGTGTGCATGGTCCTCTAACACGATGAGAGGGTCGAAGTGTTCACAGTCCTCTAACGCGACTTAGAGGATCATGAACACTTCGACTCTAAATCGACTAGCCTAGTCTTTCACGTCCGTGTATAGGTGTATTTAAATATAGCATGGAAGCAGGATGCTAAAGAACAAAGGGATGTGGAGGTGAGACACTGTTATGAGCACTGATTTCGAGTTCCAATCTACTTGTCGTGTCAACACGTTTGCTTAGTTCTCGAGTGTGCACCGTGCTATGCAGTCGTCCAAGTATGGTTTAACGTACAAGAAATTAAGTTAAATAAACAAAAGAATATGGTAATCCAGATGGAGTTTGTTCGAAGTCAGTTGTTAACGTGGTGGTCTACTTAATTGATTAATAAATACAGTACTATATTGGGCACTGTTTATAATATGGAAAAAGAATGGTGACTTTGAGGTTCCATTTTGCTGGAACCAAGAGAACATTAATGGAGGACAAAGCCCCATGAGCATTTCCCTTTAACGTTACTCTTCTCCTCCTTTCGATGTTCAATTATATCAATCATTTAAGTTAGGGTAAATTACACCTAAACCTCCTGAGGTTAGGTTATTTTTCACCAAGATGAAGATTTGGGTTTTAACTTTTACTTACACCCCAATTTGTTTTTTGGATTCTGACCCATGTGAATTGACTTTTTACCCTTAATTTTTTAGTATAATTTAATACAAAAAAATTTTGTAATTCTAAAAGATAAAACTACCCCTCTCATTATATTCTAACACACACTACAACAAATAAGGTTTTCAGCGGCGGTCTAAACTGCCGGTTTTAGGTACAAAAAGCGCCGGTAATATATATACCGGCGGTTTTAGATAACCGTCGGTATAGTCACCGCCGATAAGCTTCACCGGCGGTTTATAAGCAACTGCCGGGTTTGAACTCATTATTGGCGGTCCAATAAAACCGCCGGTGAAATATTAATTAACGGCGTTCTTGTCTGCCGGTGTATTTTAAGTAAACTGTCATTGTAACTGTCTATTCCGGCACTTTGAAGCGCCGGTAATGTATGTTCTTTTTAGGGGCGTTTGTAAATGCCTGTGTTAGAATTTATCTCCGGCACCTTAAAGCGCCGGTAATGTATAATTTTTTTTTTTTTAGGGGCGTTTTAAATCGCCCTTTTTAACGATATACTCCAGCAATTTAAAGCGCCGGTAATGTATAATTTTTTAGTTTTAGGGGCGTGTTAAATTGTCGGTGTATTGTAAGTGAACTGTAATATTTTTTTCTTTTGGGGCGTTTTAAACCGCCGGTAATGTGTTAATTTTTTTACAATTTTTTTTTCTTTTCCTGGTTTAATTTACATATTAGCAAATATTTTATTTTGTTCCCTGTTTCATGAAATCACATGTAATTTATCAATCACAACACATCCAACAACTTAAATTTGATATATAACATAGAACAAAGAAAGTTGCATTAAAATTCAATAACATCCCATAACATCTAAGTTTTGTTTCAAAATGTCAAGTGCTAATAAAAGGTTCAAAAGGAAGTCATGCAAAATAAAACATCAAAATTTCATTGAGAATTTGAGTGAGACTATGCGAGGGCCTTGAGAATTAATGGTTCAATTTCATCTCTCGTTGTTCATCTGTACGCCAAATTTTATAATAGTTACTTTTTAATTTCACTCTTCCAATCTCTCCATTTATGACCAAGGGATGATAATGTCCAATCTTTTGAGATTTCTTCTACTGCAAACTTGCCCTGCATATAAAAGATAAATAAATAAAGAATCGAGTAATTAAAAAAAAAAAAATTAACTCTAGAAATGAAATGTGTATACAAGTGAAATCAGTCAGTCAAAGATGTGAAGAGTCGAAAAATTTTTACCCGGACCGTCGTCCACATGTCCTCTTTAACTATTTCAGGGACTTTCTTCTAATTTTTATAGTTCAAGGGAGCTGCAAGACCATTACGGGCAATTGTGCCCAAATAATTAGCGAAATTTTTTTCATCGGCTCCATTAGGCTGTCCATGCTCATTCACACTGTAAAATGGTATAATAATAAATAAGTCATCGATTTGGACCAAATAAGTCAAATGGTATAATAATAAATAAGTCATTCACACTATAAAATGGCTTCACTTGCATGCATTTCCTAAAACTTTATAGTCATTCAATGCCATCATTTAAATAAAGTCACCTTAATGGTATCAGGCCATTCTTTTTGGTGTCATGTTGTACCACATTTGCGCAGCGTGTGGGTCCTCGAGTCTTCTTCGGTGTTATTAACTCATTGCTTTCAGTAGTCCCCACGTCCTCTTCTTGTGAACCATGGGAAGTATGGGACTGCGAATTTGAACCCTGAGAAAGTCCTCCATGCAATTCTAATTCCAAGTTTGTTGTTGCCCCTACGTTTCATTATGTTCCTGCATAAAGCTAACAAACCTTTGTTGCCATGTTTATTCAAGCTGGTAGTTAAGATGAAATTTAGGCTGAATATATTAGGTCTTCAAAAACATCAAAATTTGGAAAAGTAACACACTTGAGAACAATTACAATATGCAAGAAGGAAGTATAAATTTACTTAAGTATGATAGTACCATAGTTTTATTTGTTTTAGGACAATATCAATTTGAAATATGTTAAAAAAAATAAATAAATAACTAATATTATGTGTACTCTTTTTACTTACCAAGTTATAAGAAAATGAGTAAGGGAGGGAGATATGGAAAAAAAATCATAATATTCCATAAGCACGAAGCCAAAAAAAAGATGAAAATAAGAAAATGCAACATTTAAGAAAAAATTATCATCATTCTAAGTATGTTATTCATCCGGAATATCTTCTTTTTCCGTGTTTGCTGATGAAGATTTATCAACCATTGTTCCAGGCACATCACCTCTATCCCAATGAATGTGATCATCAGTTGCATCCGAGTGTAGAGAACTAAATGGTTGCTCAAATCCATAGGTCTCAGTATCATCTTCAGGAATATCATATAAATCACGAGGTTTTGTCCCTATAACAACATGCCAATCTGTATCAACTGGGTCTTGAACATAAAACACTTGCTCAGCCTGAGATGCTAGAATGAATGGTTCGTCAGTTCGCATTACACGTGAAAAATTAACAAGTGTAAACCCAAAATCATCCTCCTTTATCCCTCTACCCTTAGAGAGTACATCAAACCAATCACACTTGAAAAATACAACCTTCCTTTCTTCATTGTAGTCCAACTCAATGATATCAATCAATAATTCGAAGTAATGAACATTTCCTGCAATAGGATTTTGATCACTGGCTCTTGTATAACTTGATGTGTGTGCTTTTAAAACAACACCACTATTTTGGGTCTTCCTCTGATTATCACGATCTCTAACATTAAACTTAAACCCATTAATCACGAACGACTTAAATCGTTTGGAAACGACATTGGGACCCCGAGTTAGCCATCGAATTTCATTAGGGATAGGATCCTCCGTATTCCGCAGCTGTATTTTCAAAGATATAAGTTTTACAATAAAGTAAATAGCATATATAATATAAAATTTAATTAACCGTTCTATGTGTAGATACTTACACATTCATTAAACCACTTATGAAATGATAGATGAGACATTGATTGTATTTGTCGTGGCTTTAAATTCCGTTGCCTTCTTTTAAGAAATTTCTTATGCTTTCTGTAATGAAAAAATATCATACTCTATATGTTATATTGTTAACAACAAATGAACAATAATAATAATAACATCTAGGTCAAATATTGTAAACTTTTCACTTACTCAATGAATTGTGTAGCTCCGTCGTAGTTAAATAACACATACCGATGAGCTTGTGTTTGACAATCATCACCTAAAACAATCATCTCCTGTTTTCCTAAGGCACGACCTCTAGGGCCAAAATTAGACATCTCTTCTCCATCATGAAGGTTGTCATCATTCCTTGAGGGCCTATTGAACCTTGTCTCCACGTTTGCTAGGTATTTTGAACAAAAATTTAAGCATTCCTCAGCTAAATACCCTTCTGCAATTGAACCCTCTGGGCCACTTCTATTGCGCACATAATTTTTTAAGGTTAAAAGATACCTGATAGGATACAACAAAAAAATGAGAAGTATTTGCAATATTTAGTGGGGAAAAAAGCCTACGAATATAGTGCAAAAAAGTTAAACCTCTCAAATGGATACATCCAACGATATTACACTGGTCCTGCGATCTTTGCTTCCTGAGCTAAGTGAATTGATAAGTGGACCATCACATCAAAAAAAGATGGTGGGAATATCATTTCCAATTTACAAAGTGTTAAAGCAATCTTATTTTGCAAATTGTCCAACTCAGCCGGTATGAGAGTTTTTGAACATAATTCCTTATCAAAGTTACTCAACTCAACAAGTGTAGAGCATACATTATTTGGCAATAGCTTGCGAATGGATACTGGTAATAGTTGTTGCATTAGGATATGGGAATCATGGCTCTTTAAACCACTAATTTTTCGCTCTTTCAATTTCACACAACGTGATATGTTAGCTGCATATCCATCTGGAACTTTAACTTTTTTCAACGCACGACAAAAGATTTTCTTTTCAAGTGGAGAAAATATGTAAATTGCTGAAGGCAAATAATATTTGTTTGCACCACGTTCCTGGGGGTGAAGTGAATGCCTTATTTGCATCTCCTGCAAGTCGAGTCTTGATTTTAAACCATCCTTTCCTCGACCTGGTTCATTATTGAAAGTATAAAGTACATTGTCGCATATATTCTTCTCAATATGCATCACATCAAGATTATGACGAATAAGAAGGTGCTCCCAATAAGGCAATTCAAAAAATATACTCTTCTTCCTCCAATTGAACATTGGATTTTCATCTATTTCATCCACTTGTGCAGCATTCCCCTTGCCATTATCCCTTTTCCCAAATGCTGGAAAACTAATGCCCTCTAGTTCATGTAGCACTTCTATTCCAGATAACATAGGTGGTGCACACCTAGTCTCTTCTGTTCCATCAAAAGCTGCTTTATTGCGTCTGAATCTATGACATTGCTCAACAAAACGCCTATGGCCTGTATAACAAATTTTTTTGCTATGCTTTAACCTACAAGAACAAGTGTCTTTAAGACAAACTGGACAAGCCAAATACCCCTTTGTACTCCAACCAGATAAGTTTGCAAAAGCAGGAAAGTCACTTATAGTCCACAATAACGCTGCATGCATGCGAAACATCCCTTTTCTCGACGTATCATAGGTATCCACCCCTTCAACCCACAATTCCTTTAATTCTTCTATCAAGGGCTGCAAATATACATCAATATCATTTCCAGGACCCTTAGGACCAGGGATTAAGGTGGACAGTATGAAAAAAGGTTGTTTCATGCACATCCACCCTGACAAGTTGTATACAGCAAGAACAACAGGCTATGTACTATGTGCAATACTCATAGTCCTAAATGGGTTGAAACCGTCTGATGCTAGGCCAAGTCTAACATTTCTAGAATCCCTAGCAAACTCTGGATACTTTTTGTCAAAATGATCCCACGCTAGAGAGTCAGCAGGATGTCTTAATTTTCCATCTTTTATGCGTTCTTCCTCATGCCATCGCATATCTGAAGCTGTCTTATTTGACATGAACAACCGTTGAAGTCTTGACTTAAGAGGGAAATACCTTATAACTTTGGCTGGAATTTTTGTCTTTTTTGATCGGGGTGATGTACTTGTACTGCCCTCGGAATGAGTGTCAAAATCCTTCCACCTAGACTTGCCACATTTATGACATGTTTCATCATTAGCGTGCTCCTTCCAGTACAACATACAATCAAAGGGACATGCATCAATCTTATCATACTTGAGACCTAAGTTACTAATTATCTTTTTTGTCTCGTAAAAAAATTTTGGCAGTGTCTCACCTTCTGGTAGTACATCTTTCAAAAACATTAGCAACTCACTAAATGATTTATCAGTCCAATGATGCAAAGTTTTCAACAAATATAGTTTCACTATAAAAGACAACTTCGTAAAGTTTTTACACCCAGGATATAGATCTGTTTTTCCATCATCTAGAAGCTTGTAAAACTTATCTGCCTCTTCATTAGGGCCCTGATGATACTCATTTTCCCTATCAGCTTGTTCACCCATTTCATTTTGAATTCCAAAACCCTCATATAAGAGTTCGTGCATGTCATCATTATTTACATTGGAGTCGATGTGCTCGTATAAAGTGTGCCCATCATTATGCCTAGAAGACGAAGGTAATTGTTCTCCATGATAAATCCAAGTTGTGTATGTTTGGATAAACCCATTCCACATCAAGTTATCCAAAACTTCTTGTCGTGTTTTCTTGATACAATTCCCACAATTGTTACAAGGACAATATATGCGTCCACTCTGCCCAACTCGCTCAAACGATGTATCTAGAAATTGTTCAACTCCATTCGAGTATGTAGTACTTATCCTATTTGTATAGTAAGAAAGACAAAAGTAAAAATAAATTTATCGTAAATATCTAAACCAAAATGAGAATTAAGCTTTATTTATTTATTATTTTTTTGAAAATTGACGAGACTAAAATTTAAAGTACCTTGACTCCGTAATCCAACTTCTGTCCATTATGATAGATTCTATAACCTAATGAAAGAAATTATACATGAATCTCTACAAAATAATAAATATATTACAACAAAGTTACAAAAGTAACAAAGTAATAAAAATTATTTATTATCCTCATGAAGAATAATACATATGAGAGAGAGTGTTGGTTTTAACTATAAATACAAGTTTAATGCATTGGATTTCTTTTCCTTTTCCTTTTACAGTTTTCTTTTGCTTTTTCAGTTTTCAGTTTTTTTTTCATTTTTCCTTTTCAGTTTTAATAGTACAAGTTTACTTTAATTCATGAGAAAAAGTTATGGCTTGACTAGTTAATCTGTTTTGTGAACACTAAAACCAAAAGTTAGGGTTCACATCCATAACAAAAGTTGCTGGAATTTAAAGAATACGACAAATTGGAAGAACCCATGTATCTCACCAATCAATGAATTCTTAAGAAAGAGACCCTATTAACATAATACAAGCCACAAAAATACAAACTACAATATAAGAACAATAAAAACCCATCTGTTTAGAAAAGAAACAAGCCAAAGCAGCAGAATCAACATGAAAGCCTCAAAATCATAAGACCCCAAAATCGGCAACAACATACCGAAAATCGGCAACAACATTACCCTATTTCCTTCAAAAATCAGAAGCCCCAAAATCGGCAACAACATACCAAAAATCGGTAACAACATTACCCTATTTCCTTCAAAAATCAGAAGCCCCAAAATCGGCAACAACATACCAGAAATTATATATGCAGTAGTTGGAGCTGATTCATTCAAGAAAGAGTAGAATGGAGAAAAACCCAAAACATATATGCAATTGTTCATCTTTACTTAAGAAATTAACAACAATATAAGCTAATTACTTAAGAGAGAGAGAGATAAGTGGAGCTCTTAAGAAGGGAGGGATTAGGGTTAGAAGTTTTTAGAACTAACCGTATGCCAACTGAACAACCACCACTATGCAGATCTCTGATGCGCCACCAATCGGCCACCACCACCGTGATCTTCCCTGCGCCACACCAACCGCACCACCAAGGTTTGAAGCCGTGATCGAGTCAGTGAGAGAATAGAAGGGAGGAATAGAAATCGTGTGAATAGTAATAGCCTCCCCTAAACGTGATTTTTAGGAAAAAAATAATAATACATAAAATAATAACAATTAAATAAAAATTACATAATTTCTGGCATATTTTTTATATCCGCCGGAATTATTTAATTAATTCCGGCGCTTTTATAAACACCGCCGGAAATACTACATATATACCGGCCGTTTTTATCATACCGCCGGTATTATAACCAATAATGGCAGTTTATTATAAACTGCCGGTAAAAATTAATTAACAACGGCACACACATAAAAACTGCCAATAAAAATGATATTTCTTGTAGTGACACTAAATGACACACACCAAATAAACACCCCCCACACCTCTTTGCATCTCTCTCTGAACGAAATACAGACTTAGCCACCAACTGACACACGAAGAGGCGAAAAGAAGCAACTGGATCGGGAAGATCAAAACAGAATGTGTTCTGGCGAGGGAGAAAGCGCTGCATACAATTGACTCAACTGCTAATAGATGCTCGGGTAAGGATCCCAAACCGGATCAACTGACTCAATTGTTAATAGATGCTTGGAGAATCGGACTAATCCACTACTTTCTCTTTAGGGATTGTCGGATCATCTTCCTGAATTTTGTTTTCCCATATGAAAAAGACTGAATCTTGGACGGTTGAAGAACCCTAATTTCAGGTACGATCATACCGTAAATGTTTATGTTTGCATTTCATTTCTTATTAACCCTAATTTGTTGGGGGTTTGCTTAAATTAAGGTTTATTAACCGTAATTTAATGAAATTTCTAGTTCTCGTTTTACACTTTTTTTTTTTTTTTTTTTCGTCGTGTAAAATATGCCATTTTTATTTCTGGTTATAATTTTTATGTTCAGTTGATCTTATACTGAATTGAATTGATGAATTTTGAGTGTATTGAGTATATATATATATATACATATATACATATATATATAATTTTTTGCGAGTCTGCATTTCATTTCTAATTCCAGTGAAGTTTTTTTTTTTTTTTTTTTGAAAGATATTATCTGACATGTTTGTTGTGTTATTCTAGTTTGAAATGGCATATAACAGATTTCATGATATCATTGTTCACTCTGAGGGACGCGTACATGTAATAGGGAATGTTTATCCAGACAAGTTCAGTTATGTCATTCTGTAAAATAATGTTATTG